GCTATAATGGAAAGTGAAAATGCTGCTATAATGGAAAGTGAAAATGCTGCTATAATGGAAAGTGAAAATGCTGCTATAATGGAAAGTGAAAATGCTGCTATTACTGTTACTTCTGGATCGTCCATGAGTATCAGTGTTATCGCTGGTGTAGGTGATATGTCTGAAAACGCGAGCAATATAGAAAGAAGGAGAGCCCAATTAATTGATCGAATTAAAGCTTTGCCTGGTGATGAAGTACTTGCAGCTTGTTATCTTTTCGAAGCAATGACATATACTAGTGGAAAGCGAAAAGGAAAGATTCTTTCACCATACTTAATCAATAAAGCAAATGGTTTTCTTATATCAGGTCTGCACAAAAGAGACTCTTCCAGCCAAGCAATACAGAATAAGATAAAAACATTACAAAGAGAGAATAGAAAGCTACAAAAGAAAGTTGTAAAATCTCGTGTTCGAAAAAGTGGTAAGGCGGGAGATGGCAAAACTCAAATATCCCCAGTCAATTTGAATACAGACGCTTTCTCAGGCGACCAAAACAATACATAGCATTAGGAAAGAGAACGAAGGCAATTCAAGTAGGTTGTCAATTGTGTTTTAGGGGCCTGGGGAGAAAAAGAGAGAGAATAATTATGGACATATGCCTGCAAGTTACACGGGGATAGGAAGGGACCCTAGAATCTTATCAGTAATAAATAAATTTAGGTCGTACTTTTGAAATACTTGGGTGTATGTACATGTAACCATATGTCAATTACATTCCAGTAAAAACCGCTACATTCTCCGTGTACCCAATTAATCTGCACCGTGATGCAATAACTCCCGTCATTACGATGTACTGAATATGGAATTCGATATCTATTAAGAATATCTTTCTTTCTTTCTTTCTTTCTTTCTTTCTTTCTTTTCTTTTCTTTCTTTCTTTTTCTTAGTAAAAGAATATTCTTCAATATTGACATTTAAATGTATTTATTATTATTATTGTTATTATTATTATTATTATATGCAAACAATTGCGATTAATACTTGTATTAAATTTTACGTTAATAACTGCACACGAAATGGAATGACACTTTTCTTTTTATCTTTAGCTGACTTGATAAACGTTATCTGATTTGTGCTTGTTCGATTTGTAACAAGTCGGTGCAAATGACCGCAATTCTCTGTTCTTCAATAATATTGTATTAGTATTAACTAATGGTAAGCTAACTTAGTCGGTTAATTGTTAATTCGAATGGAAAAACCAATTCGCCCTGTTGCAGCTTGTATTACGAGTACTGTAGTTAAAATTGTAGAATAAATGCCATACAAAGTAATCTGATAACGTATGCAAACAAGGACTAATCTGTGTATACACATGTCTTTCTTTACATCGGTATCTATAGATGGCTATCTGAATCAACTGTAATATCTGGCTCTTCGCCAACGATATGTAGATTGTGGTTATGAAATATTACAAATTCGTATAGACGATTGGGAATATAAAAACGGATTCTCGAGCACCAATACTAGTACGACTATGATGATTAATAGATTCTAAGCGCAGAAGGCTGTGCAATAGTTGCAACATAAACATGCTTTTTTTTTAACACAAAAAAATTTTTAAAACCCCGCCAGCACGCCACAACTTAAAGGTGCTCCGGGATGTATACTTGGAGTTTTGCGTTCCTTTATTAGTTGGGATGTATACTCGGGAGTGCTCTCTACTCTAATATTATAATAATGGCAAAGTTTTCCGCAGCAGCAGTTAGAAAGTTCAAGTCTGTACCCCAAAATCCTTGATAAGCGACGTACAGTTCTTTTTCTGTCGAATGCATTGATATAACGACAATTGTCAGGACCTTTTTAGGAATTGTCGATCAAAGTTTATAATTACAATCAGTAATTGATCGTCGGGCTACATTTTCAGCCGCACTTTTGATGTCACTACGCTTTGTCAGATAATCGCTTCGTCTACAATATCTCTTACGCTATGGATGCAGTCCTTCGATCAGGCACTTTAAACTATTCCTACTTGGTATAAAAATTTGTGCACCTACAGTTTGCTACAGCTTTGTTTACTTTCTGCAATTTTTAATCCCTCTAAAAATAAATAGAATGTCAGAATTCCTAAAAGAGTAAGATATGTGTGTCAAAAGATACTGAATCAACCAATACAATTCCTTAATTTATAATGTGCGATAACGCACAAACATGCCCTTGCAGCAAAATCTACAATAAGTTCTGTTGTTATATAAGCAACTTGCATATACCTTAACAATTTATAATTGGTAATATGTAATTCACAATTATTATATATAGTCCTCGCTCAACTCTCGTGTGTCTCGATTCATTGCCCATCCGTGCGTCCCTCAGTCCCATCACGCAGCAATGGATTTTGTGGATGAAACTAAAACAATTCTTCGGAAATATCGGAAGACTGAGGTCTCAGCGTTGGTCTCTGGAAGAATAGTGGCAATATTATTGGGGATTCTAGCGTGTCTAGGCTACTTTGCTATATTAATAGTCTTTCTCGCAACTACAGACCCCATTGAAATTACAAACGTAGTCTCGACGCCAATAATACCAGTGCCAGGTAAGCCTACGCATAATGAAGAGATATTGAGTATGAAACGTTAAAACAAAACAAGAGCAATGCTTACGTTATCATTTATGTAACAGATTTGACGATATCATTTAATTATAAATTTAATGTATCATGTCAGTTTCGATATACCGGTGAGTATCACAACCGACTTAATTATACAAACCTCGTCTATGAAAATTCATGTTTAATAACGACAATTACCGACTTGTTTTCTTGCAAGACAACACCAACTCAAGCGAGGAATTATGCGCAGAGTACCTCACTCAACCATGCAACAAGTCATTGGACGATGGAAAATA